GCTTTTGTTTCTCTTGCGTACGTATTCCTAAAGGAAAATTGCGGAGTCATATGGTAACATGACTCGGCAATGTAATCTTCTGAGGAACCACAGATAGTTTTCCACAGCAGCTTCCCGGTTTACATTGCCACAAGCAATGTATCAGCGTGTCAATGTCTCCACATCCTCACCAGCGTGTTATGTGATTACTGCCTCCCTAGGGGGTGCAAAGTGGTATCTCTTTGTGGCTTTGATTTGCATTCCCCTAATGACCAATGATGTTGAGCATCTTTTCATATATTTATTGGACTTTTTTTTTTTTTTTTTTTTTTTAATATATTTATTGGACTTTTTTTTTTTTTTTTTTTTTTTTTTTTTTTTTTAAGTAGAGACAAGGTCTCACTATGTTGCCCAAGCTGGTCTTAAACTCCTGACCTCGAGCAATCCCCCTGCCTCGACCTCTCAAAGTGCCAAGATCACAGGCGTGAGACACTGTCCCCTAGTCACCCTTACTGGCCATTTTTGTATCTTCTTTCTCTATTCTAAATGTCCACTCACTTTCTTTGGCCATTTTTTAATTGGTTTATTTGTGTTTTTATTATGAGTTCTAGGAATCATGGTAGATATTCAGCAAAAAGCTGACTGGAGCTGTGTTTGCGCAGAGGCAAAGTCTTATTTGCAAAGTCCCTGAAGTTTGGCCCCTGGGCACAAAGCTCTGTCCTGCTGGCCTCATCTCAGTGCAGCCCTGCCCAGCAGGTCCACCTCCCCCAGGTTCAGGGACAGGCCCCAAACCCAAGCAACTCAGAACAACTCTCGTCTCACAGATGGGGAAACCGAGGCTTGAGGTGGAAAAAGGACTGGCTCCAGCTCTCGTGACCCAGGAGAGCCAAGCCAGGCTCAAGTTCGGATCTACCTGACCAAACCCCACCCTATCTCTGCACAATTTCTCTGCACATATACATGTCCTGCCTGGCTGTTTTCTGCTTTATTGCACACTTAACATTGCCTCTGTTCTCCCCGTAACCCTGGAAGTGAGTCACGCAGACGCCATTTCCCTCATTTTATAGAGGAGGAAACTGAGGCTAAGAGAGGCGACGTGACTTTCACCAGCCTCAAAGCCAGCAAATTAGAGCTCATGACGCCCATTCCAGGTAAAACTGGCCACCAGTCTAAGCCCAGCCACACCACCTGGAGGGTCCACTTTTCCTCTGGCCCAGAGCCACCCCCACTCGCCAGGAAACTGTAGCAGCCAGTAGTCCACCAGAGGACCTGGGCTACACGCACTTCCTCTAGAGCAGCTCCACCCAACACCAGCTGGGCCCTCTGGACTGGCACTCCCAGATCTGCCCAGGCCGTGCCCAACAAGCCCAGCCCAAGACCTTTGCTCCTACAAGAAGTAGGACCCTGGTTTCCATGAGCCCCTGGTACTGTTTCTTTTGAGACGGAGTCTGGCTCTGTCACCCAGGCTGGAGTGCAGTGGCACGATCTCAGCTCACGGCAACCTCTGCCTCCCGGGTTCAAGTGATTCTCCTGCCTCAGCCTCCGACTAGCTGAGACTATAGGCACCCGCCGCCACGCCTGGCTAATTTTTGTGTTTTTAGTAGAGACGGGGTTTCACCATGTTGCCCAGGCTGGTCTCGAACTCCTAACCTCAGGTGATCTGCCCACCTCGGCCTTCCAAAGTGCTGAGATTGCAGGCGGGAGCACCATGCCCGGTCATGTTTCTTACTCTTCTATCACTCCAAGGCTTGGGCACTTATGGAGAGGGCACAGGCTGCATGCCTGTGATTTGAGACATGGAAGCAACCATGAAAAACCCCTAGGCCCAGCTCAATGGGGTCTCTCATCTCTGAAAGAGCCCTTGACTCCCACTAGACAACCAAGCCCCCTTGACTCAGTTAACACAGTCATATCCCATTACCTCATTTATGCCTGTGTAGGCAAGGTTGTAGGAACATGAGAACGTCTTCCCTTCATTCAAGTCACTAAACCGACTCCCTTGAGTACCCAACACCATTCTAGCCACTGGGAATGCAGCAGTGAATAGAACCAGAAAATTCTTGCCTGTTCTGAGACATTCCAGATGTCCCAATGGAGCTGACATAGTGGAACAGAGAGAAAGAAACAATTAAAAAATAGGCTGGGCGTGGTGGCTCACACCTGTAATCCTAGCACTTCAGGATGCCAAGGCAGGAGGATCCCTTGAGATCAGGAGTTCGAGACCAGCCTGGGCAACACCTCGAGACCCCATCTCTACAAAGAAATGAAAAACTTAGGTGAGCAGGGTGGTGTGTGCCTGCACTCCCAGCTACTTGGGAGGCTGAACCTGGAGGATTGTTTGAGCCCAAGAGTTCAAGGCTGCAGCAGCGAGCTGAGATCGAACCACTGCACTCCATCCTGGGTGACAGAGCAAGATCCTGTCTCTAAAATAAATAAATGAATAAGTTGTTGAACATTCCCAACACAAAGAAATATTTGAGATGATGAGGCTGGGCACTGTGGCTCACGCCTGTAATCCCAACACTTTGGGAAGCCGAGACGGGTGGATCACTTGAGGTCAGGAGTTCCAGACCAGCCTGACCAACATGGTGAAACTCCGTCTTTATTAAATTTAAAATATATATATATATATATATATATAAAGAGATGATGAATATGCCAGTTACCCTGATCTGACTACTATACATTCTATATATTAAAACATCACTGGCTGGGCACAGTGGCTCATGCCTGCAATTCCAGCACTTTGGGAGGCCAAGGTGGGTGGATCATTTGAGGTCAGGAGTTCAAGACCAACCTAACCAATGTGGTGAAACCCTGCCTCTACTAAAAATACAAAAAAAATTAGCCGGGCCTGGTGGCATATGCCTGTAGTCCCAGCTACTCGGAAGGCTGAGGCAGGAGAATTGCTTGAACCTGGGAGGTGGAGGTTGCAGTGAGCCGAGATCATGCCACTGCACTCCAGCGTGGGTGATAGAGCGAGATTCTGTCTCAAAAAAAAAAAAATCACTGTGTGTCTCATGTGTATGTACACTCACTGGCAATTTAAAAAAATTTTAAGTACAATGAAACATAAATAAGAAAAATAGAGAATATTGTCCGATGGCATTAAACGCTAAGCAGAATATAAAGTATTAAAGGGGGACAGGCCATTGTGGGGTAAGAAACAGCGATTTTATTTTATTAATCTATTTATTTATTTATTTTTGAGATGGAGTCTTGTCCTGTCACCCAGGCTGAAGTGCAGTGGCACGATCTTGGCTCACCACAACCTCCACCTCCCGGGTTCAAGGGATTCGCCTGCCTCAGCCTCCCGAGTAGCTGGGATTACAGGCATGTGCCACCATGCCTGGCTAATTTTTGTATTTTTAGTAGAGACGGGGTTTCGCCGTGTTGGCCAGGCTGGTCTCAAACTCCTGACCTCAAGTGTTCCATGCACCTCAGCCTCCCAAAGTGCTGGGATGACAGGCGTGAGCCACTGAGCCTGGCCAGAAGCTGCAATTTTAAATAGGGTGGTCAGTGAGAGACTCACTGAGAGCAAAACACTAAAGACAGGAGTAAGCCATGTGGATGTCTGCAGGCATGTCCCATCACAGGGGGGACATGGACTCTGTGCAGGGACTCTGAGGCAGGGGCATGTGGGGCATGTGGTACGAAAGCCCTGCCCTGAGGGGAAGAGAGGAGTTGGGGTTAGGGACAGCCCAGGCTGAACTTCCAAGACCAACTGTGAAGGACTCTGAGTCTGGCGAAGAAGGGGGAATGATTGTCCAAGTGTTAGAGCTAAGGCTTTGAGATAGCATTTCTGGCTTCCTCTTTTTTTTGAGACAGAGTCTCAATCTGTGGCCCAGTCTGGAGTGCAGTGGCATGAACTCAGCTCACTGCAACCTCTGCCTCCCAGGTTCAAGCAATTCTCTTGTTTCAGCCTCCCAGGTAGCTGGGATTACAGGCACACACCTGCTAAGTTTTGTATTTCAGTAGAGACAGGGTTTCGCCATGTTGGCCAGGCTGGTCTCAAACTCCTGACCTCAGGTGATCCACCCACCTCGGCCTCCCAAAGTGCTGGGATTACAGGCCTGAGCCACTGCGCCCAGCCTCTCCTTTTTTTTTTTTTTTTAAAGACAGGGTCTGCTCTCTGTCGCCCAGGCTGGAGTGCAGTGGTGCAATCATAGCTCAGCCTCCAACTCCTGGACTCAAGTGATCCTCCTGCCTGAGCCTCCGGACTAGTAGCTAGGACTACAGGCACAGACCACTACACCTGGCTAATTTTTTGATTTTTTCGTAGACAGGGGGTCTCACTATGTTGCCCAGGCTGGTGTTGAACTCCTGGTCTCAAGCGATCCTCCCTTCTCAGCCCCCTAAAGCGCTGGGATTACAGGCGTAAGCCTCCGTGCTCGGCCCGATCTGACTTCCCACTTTTGCGGAGATCGTAGCTCTTTCACCACCACTTCACTAAGGCGGACCTCAGCCCTAACTCGGGCTCAAAGGGAGGGAGGACACGGCCGGGGAGGAGGGGGACTCAATGAGAAGAGGGGGGACTTCTGGGAGGGGAGAGCGGCTTAGCTAAAGGCATGCAGGCTCAAGGCCAGCAGTGGGAACTGGAGGGAGAGCTGGAGAGGAATTTGAGCTTAGTTGGGCTTAAGTGGACCTTTTTGGTACCTTTACAGGCACCTCCTGGGCTGGACAACCCCACCGCCCGGACTCAGGCCGGGCCTGTGCGAGCAGGTGCGCCGCCAGTGCACACAGTCGCGGCCACACCCACTCGAGCCCTCCCCGCCCCGCCGTTCCGGGGTAATTGGCAGCGCCCCTGTCCCCACGCGGCTCGTGCCAAAAACGCCCAAAGTGGTGAGGAGAGAGCGCCCGTGTCAAACTCTTTGGGATTTGCACCTCGAGCCCCTGACGCACCCTGTCCTCCGCTTTGCCCCGGAGAATTCGTTCCCGAGCAGAGGGGCACAAGAACCGAGGGGCGGGGGATGGGGCAGGCCCCGCCCTTCCCTGGCAACCCCTCACCCCGGCGTCGTGGGCCGCGCGGGGCCAAGTCCTTCCTCCCAGGGCGCTCGGTGAAGGTGGGAGGCGGGGGCCACGTCACTGTCCCCAGGCCCTGGAGAGCGCGGCTCCGCCCCTCCCGCCCCCGCCGGAGCGCGGGGCACTTAGCTAAGACGCACCGGCCCCAGCCCAGGACCAGCCCAGTCGCCGCCGCCCGCCCACAGATCCACAGGCAGGTGCAGGCGCAGCTGCGGCGCGAGCGTGTGGAGCAGAGCCGTTAGCGCGCGCCGTCCGTGAGTCCGTCCCTCCGTCCGCCCGCCAGTCCGTCCGTCCGTCCGTCGGTCGGTCGGGGCGCCGCAGCTCCCGCCCAGGCCCAGCGGCCCCGGCCCCTCGACTCCCCGCACCCGGAGCCACCCGGTGGAGCGGGCTTTGCCGCGGCAGCCATGTCCATGGGCCTGGAGATCACTGGCACCGCGCTGGCGGTGCTGGGCTGGCTGGGCACCATCGTGTGCTGCGCGCTGCCCATGTGGCGCGTAACGGCCTTCATCGGCAGCAACATCATCACGTCGCAGACCATCTGGGAGGGCCTGTGGATGAACTGCGTGGTGCAGAGCACCGGCCAGATGCAGTGCAAGGTGTACGACTCGCTGCTGGCGTTGCCGCAGGACCTGCAGGCGGCCCGCGCCCTCATCGTGGTGGCCATCCTGCTGGCCGCCTTCGGGCTGCTCGTGGCGCTGGTGGGCGCCCAGTGCACCAACTGCGTGCAGGACGACACGGCCAAGGCCAAGATCACCATCGTGGCGGGCGTGCTGTTCCTGCTGGCTGCCCTGCTCACCCTCGTGCCGGTGTCCTGGTCGGCCAACACCATTATCCGGGACTTCTACAACCCCCTGGTGCCCGAGGCGCAGAAGCGCGAGATGGGTGCGGGCCTGTACGTGGGCTGGGCGGCCGCGGCGCTGCAGTTGCTGGGGGGCGCGCTGCTCTGCTGCTCGTGCCCCCCGCGTGAGAAGAAATACACGCCCACCAAGGTGGTCTACTCCGGGCCCCGCTCCTCTGGCCCAGGACCCAGCATGGGCACAGCCTACGACCGCAAGGACTACGTCTAAGGGACAGACGCAGGGAGACCTCCACCACCTCCACCGCGAGCTGGACCGTGCGTCAGGCTGCCCAGCGCGCAGCTTTGCCTCGGAGGCCAGCCCACCCCCAGATTCCAGGAAGCCCCCGCGCTGGACTGGGAGGGGTCGGCTCCAGGCCCCCCTACCCCGCAGCCATCCCTTTGCGGGCCGGGGAGTTGACTTCGGGGCCCAGGGACCAAGCCCCATGGACTGTGAAACCTCACTCCTCTGGAGCACGGGGCTGGGGTGCCCGCCGATACCTGTCCGCCCCGTCGAGCCCCATCGGCCGCTGCCCTCAATGCTCGCGCTGGGCAGGGACCGGCAGCTACGAAAGGGGGCACTTGATGTTTTTCAATAAAAGCCTTTTCGTTTTGCACTCGCTGGAGCCTCCTTGTTCCGAGCGCCTGCACCTCCCTGCAGAGCGCCATGCTCCGGGCGGCCTTGGCTGGATCTCACTCTCCTGGAAGGAGCTTAGAGGGGAGATGGGGTTGTGAACTAAGCTTGGTGATCACAGGGTGGTCACTCGCCCACTCCCTGGGGATTCGGAAGACAGCCTGGGTGGCCAAAGCCAAGGCCCAAACCAGGAAGCCGGCACGCGCACTTCCCGCATGCCGTGGCTGGGGGAGGGAGGGGAAGGTGGCAGAGATGTGCCCCTGGGTCTGTGCTGGGAGCCCGACCCCCGCGCATTCGGAATCTCAGGTGCACCTAGTGAAAGAGCACACTCAGCATTCCGTACTGCCATTTCCTATGGAACAAAGAAAATAAAAAGGCCTATTGTTTGGATAAAACACGTGACCAAATCTTCTCACCTGGGGGAGAGATGAGAAAGGGACCCCGTCTCCTTCCTGGGACTCTCAAGGGAGGGAAGTGGGAGGACTTACAAGGGGCATCTCAGAGGGGATTGAGGCTGGGGTTCAGTGGCCCACTGCTGGAGGACGAGGTGGGAGGCTTGCTTGAGCCCAGGAGTTCGAGACCAACCTGGGCTATATAGCAAGAACCCACCTCTACCAAAAAAAAAAAAAAAAAAATTAGCTGGGTGTGATGGCACACACCTGTGATCCCAGCTACTCCGGAGGCTGAGGCAAGAGGATGGCTTGAGCCCAGGAGACCAAGCCTACAGTGAGCTATGATTGTGTCACTGCACTCCAGCCGGGGCAACAGAGAGAGACCCTGTCTCAAAAACACAACGACAAAAAAAAAAAAAAAGAAAATGGAGGAGTGGTTGAGGTAAACAACGTGGAGAGGCACTGGTGTCTTGGGGGAAACACAGGCGATTGAGAGGAAAAGGAGGCCTGGAGCCCAGGCACAGGGCGACTTGGTGGGGGCAAGAGATCCAAATGACTGGATGGAAGAAAACGGGAGACAGGAAGGGTCAGTGAAGCCCAGGGGTCCAGCAGAGGCCAAGTCATGGACTCTCCCGGGTGTGGAATTACGACTTTGAACCTTACTCTGGGTGTAGGGAGTCATGAAAGGGGAAGCACCCAGTCAGATACTTTTAATCTCTACAGCAGCCTGTTTGGAACAGGGATTCAAGGAGAGAGATAAAGGCGGGGAACCAGCGAGCAGCATATGCCGCCATGGAGTGAATGATGGTGGCTGGAAATGAGGCACGGGCGGGGAGTGGGGGCAGAACCTGGTGGAGGCTGCTAAGGTGGGCAGGACCCGGGAGCCATTAGGATGTGCAGGGTGAGAGAGGAGAATCTAGAAAAGAAGGCTGGAATCTGGGAGTTTCCATCTTAGGTCACTGATTGGATAGTGGTGCCAAGCACCAAAATAGGAGATCATGTTTCTGGGTGGAGATGATGGGTTCCGTGTTGAGCGTATAGAGCTTGGTGAGGCCAGGTGTGGTGGTTCATGCCTGTAATTCCAGCACTTTGGGAGGCCAAGGCTGGAGGGTGGCTTGCGCCTAGGAGTCTCAGACCAGCCTGGGTAACATAGTGAGACCCCATCTCTACAAAAAAAATTATTCAATTAGCTGGGTGTGGTGGCATATGCCTGTAGTCCCAGGTACCCAGAAGGCTGAGGGGGGAGGCTTGCTCGAGCCCAGGAGATTGAGGCTGCGGTGGGTCGAGACTGTACCACTGCAATTCAGCCTGGGCGACAGTGAGACCTTGTCTCAAAAAATAAATGACTTAAAATAAAATAAATGTAGAGCTTGGCAAGCCTGGATAACGCCCCGGCAGAGACGTCCAGGAAATAGGGTGACATCCAGAGATCTCATAAAACCTGGAAGTCATTAGCATGCAGATGGCAGCCGAAACCAGGGTAGGGGAAGCAGTCAGTCTAGAAACTCACAGAACAAAAAGATTTGAAGGAGGTGGCTGTGGGCCACGGTGTCTGAGGCTGCAGGAGTGGCCAGGCAAGATGAGGCCTGAGGAACAGCCTTGGAATTCAGAGTAGCCAGGTGGTCATTGGTGGCCTCAGCGAGAGGCGTGGAAACTGGAGCACTGGACAGAAAAGGGAGTGGGAGGTGAGAGCTGACGCCAGGGACTGTGGACGGTGTGTGCAGGGGATCTGCATAGAAGGGAAGCGTGGCCGGGCCCAGTGGCTCACGACTGTAACCCCAGCAGTTTGGGAGGCCGAGTTATGGCGGGGTATAGCTTAAGCCCAGGAGTTTGAGACCAGGCTGGCCAACACGGTGAAACCCCATCTCTACTAAAAATATAAAAATTAACTGAGCATGGTGGCTCGCACCTGTAGTCCTGGCACTTTGGGAGGCCGAGGCAGGTGGATTACCTAAGGTCAGAAGTTTGAGACCAGCCTGACCAACATGGTGAAACCCTGTCTCTACAAAGAACATTCAAAATGAGCAAGTAGCCGGTGGCCAGGCGCAGTGGCTCATGCCTGTAATCCCAGCACTTTGGGAGGCCGAGTCGGGCGGATCACCTGAGGTTGGGGTTCAAGACCAGCCTGACGAGCATGGAGAAGTCCTGTCTCTACTAAAAATACAAAATTAGCCGGGCACGGTGGTGCACGCCTGTAATCCTAGCTACTGGGGAGGCTGAGGCAGGAGAATCACTTGAACCAGAGAGGCAGAGGTTGCAGTGAGCCGAGATCGCACCAATGTACTCCAGCCTGGGCAACAAAGTAAGCTGATGTGGGGGAATCACCTGAGCCCAGAGAGGTCGAGGCTGCAGTGAGCTGTGATTACCCTACTTCACTCCAGTCTGGGTGACAGAGCAAAACCCTGTCTCAAGAAAATTAATAAATAAACAAATAATTTTTGAAAAGACAAAAAACAAAACAAAACAAAAAAATATTTTGGCTGCGGCAAAGCTGAAACAAAAAGGGCAAAAGGTCCCCGTGGCACTTACGTTTCTTTTTTTTTCTTTTTCCTTTTTGTTTTTTTCTTGAGTCAAGGTCTTGCTCTGTCCCCCATGCTGGAGTGCAGTGGTAAAATCATAGCTCACTGCAGCCTTAACCTCCTGGGTTCAAACAACGATCCTCACACCTCAGCCTCCTGAGTAGCCGGGACTACAGGCACGCACCACCATGCCCAGTTAATTTTTTTTTCTTTTTTTTCTTTTTTTTTTGAGACAGAGTCTCACTTTTGTGAGGCTGAAGTACAGTGGCGCGATCTCAGCTCACTGCAACCTCCACCTCCCAGGTTCAAGCAATTCTCCTGCCTCAGCCTCCCCAGAAGCTGGGATTACAGGCACCCGCCACCACTCCTGGCTAATATTTTTGTATTTTTAGTAGAGATGGGGTTTCACCATGTTGGCCAGGCTGGTCTCAAACTTCTGACCTCAGGTGATCCACCTGCCTTGGCCTCCCAAAGTGCTGGGATTACAGGTGTGCACCAATTTTTGTACTTTTTATAGAGATGGGAGTCTTGCCATATCACTCAGGCCACTTTCCAATCCCTGGGTTCAAGTGATCCTACTTCGGCTCTGAAAGTACTGGGGTAACTGGCATGAGCCACCACACACGGCCTAGACTTCATAATAGAACATCCCACTTAACTCCAGAAAAACTCCTCTCTGGTTAAGAAACACCAGTGTGTCGTCATTCCTAATGACCCAAGGAAGAGGAAGTAGTCACTGTTAATAGTGAGGTTGGGCACGGTGGCTCACACCTGTCATCCCAGCACTTTAGGAGGCCAAGGCCGGTGGATCACCTGGAGCCAGGAGTTCAAGACCAGCCTGGCCAACATGGTGAAACTCCATCTCTACTAAAAATAAAAATTAGCCAGGTGTGGTGTCTGGCACCTATAATCCCAGCTACTCTGGAGGCTGAGGCAGGAGAATCACTTGAACCCGAGAAGGAGAGGTTGCAGTGAACCAAGATCATGCCACTACACTCCAGCCTGGGCAACAAGAGTGAAACTCTGGCTTTCTTGCTGAAAAAAAAAAATGAAGTGTACCTTCACTTTATAAGAGTAAGTGTACCTTTCCCCAGTCAGTCTCGGTAAGATACTTGGATGACTCTTTCCCCGGCAGGCTTCCCTTTGAGAACTGCTCTTCTAGCCTCCACAGAGGGAGGCAGGGAGAGTGAAACTGATTACGCAGACACTGGGGATGATTGATGGAGATGGGTCCTGGAGAGAGTTTCAGAAAGGGGATGCAGGTAACCTGGGCAACATAGCAAGATTCCATCCCTACAAAAAATTAAAAATTACCCGGGCGTGGTGGTGCATGCTTGTAGTTCCAGCTATTGGGGAGGCTGAGGCAGGAGGACAGCTTGAACCCAGAAGTTTGAGGCTGCAGTGAGCAATGGTGGTGCCACTGTGCTCCAGCCCGGGTGACACAGCAAGACAAAGATAAAGGAAAAGAAAAGAGAGAAAGGAAGGAAGGAAAGGAGGGGATGGGAAGGGAGAGGCACGGTGGCTCACGCCTGTAATCCCAGTTCTTTGGGAGGCCGAGGCAGGCAGATCACCTGAGATCAGGGGTTCGAGACCAGCCTGGTCAAAGTGGTGAAACCCCGTCTCTACCAAAAATACAAAAATTAGCCAGGTGTGGTGGTGTGCACCTGTACTTCCAGCTACTTGGGAGGCTGAGGCAGGAGAATTGCTTGAACCCGAGAGGCGGAGGCTTCAGCGATCAGAGACTGCCTCCATTGCACTCCAGCCTGGCAACAAAAGCAAAACTCCATCTCAAAAGACAAGGAGAGAGAGAGAAGGGTGGGGAGAGAGAGGAGACAGGGAAAAAGAGAGAGAGAGGGAGAGAGAAGAGAGTGAAAGTGAAAGAAAGGAAGGGAAAAGAAAAAAGAGAGAGAAAGAATTATCTTTGGAATGAAGACACGCCTGTCTGCACAAAAAGCACATGGCATAGTGCTATGTATACAGTGGGAGTTCAATTAATGTGAGTTTGTATTAAGATTTGGGACCGGGCAGAGTGGCTCACAGCCAGGCACAGGGGCTTACGCCTGTAATCCCAGCTA